GTATACCCCCACAAGCCTGCCCTTCGGTCGTCAGCTGACAGCTCCTCTCCCTCACTGGGTCTAGAGTCCCTAGCCACTCCATCTCTCCACATCATCATCTCTGCCTTCATCTCTGGCGTCACTGTTTCTCTGGGTAGAGTCCCGCATTCTGCTCTTCTCCCTTGATGGTCCCAGGGACCTCCGCCCCTGGATTGCAAAGGGTTGACAGTCTTTTTGTTATTTCTTTTTCTCTAAGCATTTAAAAAATGCCTTTCTATTCCTTCTGGATTCTATGGTTTCTAATGAGAAATCCATTGTTAAATTTTCCTGGGGGAAAATCCCTTTTATGTGATGAGTTGCTTTCCTCTTGCTACTTTCAAGATTCTCTTTTTGTCTTTAGCTTTCAAGAGTTTGGTTATAATGTGGCTCAGTGTCAATCTTTATATTTACCCTTCTTGGAGTTCATCAAGCTTTTTTAATGATAGATTTATGTCTTTCAAACTCAGGAAGGTTTTGTCTTTCTTCAAATGTTCTTTTTGTCCTCTGCTATGGATTGAGTTGTGTCTCCCCAAGTTACCTGTTAAAATCCCAACCTTTAAATACCTTTAAGTACCTTTAAATATGACCGTTTGGAAACAGATAGCTTTCTTTTTATATTAATTTGGTGATGCCCGTATTAGGTGGGTTCTAAACCTAACCACTTATGATTTATAAAAAAGAGCAGAAGAAACAGAGACAGACACAGGGAGAAGAGGAAGACAGATGACAGAGACAGATGCATCTTCATGTTCAGGAACATCAGGATTGATAACAGCTGTTAAGAAGCTGAAATAGGTAAGGAAAGACCTCCCACTAGAACAGAGATGGGGAAACTTTTTTTCTGCCAAGGGTCCATTGGGATATTTATAACATCATTCAGGGGCCATATAAAATTATCAACTGAAAAATTAGCCTGCTATGTTTGGTTAAACATTTAATTAACTCATGTGGCACTGTGGGTTAATGCATCAGACTGCAAAGTTGTTTGAACTGCAAGGTCGGTGGTTCAAGCTCACCAGTTCCTCCTTGGAAACCCTATATGGGGTTCATGATGGGTCAGAATCGACTCGATGGAATTTAACAACAAAAACAACAACAATGTGATGGAGTCCTGGTGTGGCGCTGTGGGTTAATGTGCCAGACTGAAAAGCCATTTGAACTGCAAGGTTGGCAGTTCAAGTTCACCAACTGCTCCTCAGGAACCCTACACAGGGTTGCTATGGATCAGAACCGATTTGACGGCACTTCACAACAACAACGTGATGGTGTGGCTCTGTGGAGTCCTGGAGTTAATGCACTGGACTGCAAAATTGGTCTGAACCATAAGGTTGGTGGTTCAAGCTCACTAGCTACCCCTAGGAAACCCTATACAGGGTCACTATGGGTCGGAACTGACTCACCGACACTTAACAACAACAACAACGTGATGGTTAAATTGCAGTTGCCTTGGCAGGGTGAGACCAAATGATTTCTAGGAGTTCTGGTGTGGCACTGTGGGTTAATGTGCTGGTCTGCAAAGTTGGCTTGTACTGCAGCATCAGCAGTTGAAGCTCACCAGTTGCTCCTCAGAAACACTATACAGGGTCACTAGGGATCAAAACCGACTCAACGGCACTGAACAACAACAAGAGGCAGTTTCAAACTGCTGACCTTGAAGTTAGCAGCCCAACTTGTAACCATTGTGCTACCAGTGTAGCCTTGGAAACCTTATGCAGGTTCACTGTGAATCGAAACCGACTCCACGGCACATATCCACCACCATTAGAAGCTGAAGAAACCAAGGACTTTTCCCCTAAAGTTGACACCCTTATCTCACACTTCTACCTTCCGAACTATGAGAAAATAAGTTTCTGTTCTTTAAAATCATCTACTTTATGGTATCTTGTTATAGCAGCATTAGGAAAATAAAATATCCATTTTCTCTCCTCTCCTGGTTTCACATTTTGGGTTTACTGGTCCAACTGATAGGGTCTTATAGATCTTTTAGGCTTGTACTCCTCAAAATGGATACTTCTAGTTGACCTGTCTTCATGTTTGCTGATTCCTCTGTCTGCATAATTCTGCTTGTAAACGCCTCCAGTACTTTCCAATGCTAGACTTTAGTATCTTTTAAAAATACAATTCCCATTTCTTTATTGATAGTCTCTGTATGTTCATAATGGTTCACGTTTCCTTTAGTTCTTTGTGCATGTTGACAACAGCATGATTGAAAATCTCCATCTGGCAAGTCCAGACTCCTCCATGGCAGTGTCTGTTAGCATTTTCTATGAGTGGAGCATACTTTACATTTTGCATCTTTTATTGAAAACTGAACATTTCAATGTTACAATAATTTTGAAAATCAGGTTTGTTTCCCTCTTCAGGGTTTTGTTGCTGTTGCTTGTTGTACTGTTTAGTAACTTTTCTTAACAGGTCTTGTAAAGTCTGTATTTTTGTCATGTAGTTTCTGAAGTCTCTATTCTTTTAGTTTATGTTCAGTGAGTGTTTTGATGGCAACTTCTTTGAAAACTAGGAGAGAGGGCTGGTGGAAGAGAAAGACGAGATAGAAGAGAATAGGAAGAGGGAAGGAAGTAGAACAGGAAAAGTAGAGAAAGAGGAAAAAACCCCAAATGCTTCTAGTTTTTGTATAAGGGTCCTTTTGTCTCTGTTTTGTCTATTTCCTCCTGTGTTTCCTGTAGATTTACGATTTTTTTTCCTTTTTAAAATTTTTTCCTGAGCTCTGCCAACTTTCTTTTCATATTTTATTAGTTTGCCTATTCTTATTTTGATATACAGTGCATCTTCATTTCTATTTTTTAAAAGCTTTTATCAAAATACAACTCAGAAACCATGAAATTCACTTTTAAAAGTGTATAATTCAGTGTTTTGTATATTCTTATAATTGTGAAGTTATCTCCACAATCAATTTTAGAACATTTTTATTACTCCAAAGGGGAATCATACACATCATACACATTATTAGTCATTTTCTATCCCCCGCAAAACTCTCTGGCCATATGCCACCAATAGATTTGCCTTTTCTGGACTTGCCATGTATTTAGGATCATACAACATGTGGCATTTTGTGGCTGGCCCCTTTGACTTAGCTTAATGTTCTATAATGTTCAACCATGTTGGAGTACTTTGTGATTTCACTCCTCTCTTAACAATATGGTCAGGTCTTAATGTGAAAATCAGTGCTATGTCTCTATGTAGGATGACATCAGATCATAAACCAGGATGACTGCATCAATACATAACTTCCCAATTTAATCATGGCATAGCCACTAAATTACGTTGTTACACAACTGCCAAACCAATGAGAATCATGATCCAGTCAAATTGACACGTAACGGGGTGGATTACCCAGTAAGACAAATAAGCATGGGTTTACTTGTACTTAAAAGTTCTGGTGTGGTGGACCACAAAGTCAGTTTGAACCTCAAGATCAGCATTTCAAACTTACCAGCCGCACCTTGTAAACCCCATACAGGGTCACTATGAGTTGGAACGGACTTGATGGCCTTTAAAAACCACAACATATGGTGAACAACTTTCCAGAGGTGAAAGATGACATGAAAAAGTAAAAATCAAAGATCGTGAAAAACATGTAAAACTGTTCACTACAGATAAGTAAATGGACACAAATAAGCCCATGCTTACCTTGCTTATTGGGTAAACCAACATTGTACATAACCATAACATAACTAGTATTACTCTTGCCTCACATCTTGGTGTTCACTACTGTCAGATATATATCACTAAAGTGCAAGATTGTGTGTTCATTTTAATACTGCCACAAATGTGAAGTGTCAAATAACACAATAGTCAGTAAGTGAGAAATAGATGGTTTATTTTTATTACCAGATAATATTGTATCATATTTATCCATAGATATTTGTATGTTTTTCGTTTTTGAGGTATTATCAATAATGCTACTATAAACATTCAGATACAAGTTTTTGTGTGAACATGTTTTCAGTTCTCTTGAGTACACCTAGAAGTGAAATTGCTGGCTCATATGGCAACTCAATCTGAATGCTAAGTGAATAATCTGAGAAGCTGGATTATATGGAGAATGTGACATCAGGATTGGAGGAAGATTCATTAACCTGTGATATGCAGATGACACATCCTTTCTTGCTGAAAGCAAAGAGGACTTAAAATACTTACTAATGAAGATCAAATGCCACAGCCTTCAGTATGGATTACACCACAATGCAAACAAAACAAAAATCCTCACCAATGGACCAAGAAATAACATTGATAAATGGAGAAAAGGCTGAAGTTGTCAAAGACTTCGTTTTGCTTGGCTCCATTATTAACTCATGAAAGCAGTAATCAAGACATTAAATGACATACTGCATTAGGCAAATCTGCTGCACAAGACCTCTTTAAAGTGTTAAAGAGCAAATATGTCAGTTTGAGGACTAAGGTGCACCTGACCCAAGCCATGGTATTTTCAATAACCTCATATGTATGTGAAAGTTGGACAGTGAATAAGGAAGACCGTAGAAGAATTGATGCATTTGAGTTACGGTGTTGGAGAAAAACATTAAAAGTACCAAGGACTACCAGAATAAAAAAAAAAATCTATGTTGGAAGAAGTACAGCTGGAATACTCCTTAGAAGCCAGGATGGTGAATCTTCATCTCCCATACTTTGGATATATTAGCAGGAGTGACCAGTCCCTGGAGAAGGGCATCATGCTGGGCAAAGTGGAGGTTTAGTGAAAAAGAGGAAGACCCCCAGCAATATGTATTGACACGGTGACAACAATGGATTCAAACTTACCAACTGGGCAGTGTTTCATTTTATTGAGCAAAAGGTTGTTATAGGCTGGAACTAACTCAAGGCACCCAACAACATGGCGACTCTACATAAAACTTTTTGAGAAACTGCTAAGATGTTTTCTTTCTAAAAGTGGCTGCTCCATTTTACAACCCTAAGAGCAATGTATGAAGGTTCCAATTTCTGCACATCTTTACTAACACTTGTTATTGTCTTTTATTATTATTATTAGTCATCCTGGGAGCTCTGGTAGCATAGGGGTTACAAATTGGGCTGCTAACCTCAGGGTCGGCAGTTCAAAACTACCAGCTGTTCCATGGGAGAAAGATGAGGCTTTCTGCTCCAGTAAGGATTTACAGCCTTGGAAACCCTGTGCAAGGTCGCTGTGAGTCAGAACCGACTTGATGGCACTTAACAGTGGAGTCCTGCAGGTGCTGTAGAATAAGCACTGGACTGCTAACCACAAGGTCTGCAGTTCAAATCTACCAAATGCTCCTTGTAAACCTTATAGTGTCACTGAGTAGGAACCAACTCAACAACACTTAACAACTCTGAGTGTTCGTGGGTTTTCAATGTTGTTGTGATTTACATTTCCTTCCTGATTAATGTGTGAAGCATCTCTTCATGTGCTTATTGACTATTATCTCCTGGAGAAAAATCTACTCAGATCCTTTACTATTTTCAGTTGGAGTGTTTTTCTTTTGTTTATTGAGTTATAGGACTTCTTTACATATTCTGGTTTTATTAGACATGTGATTTGCAAACAATTTCATTTTGATACTGATAATAGTATTTGCAGCAAACAAGTTTTTTATTTTAATGAATTCCAATTATTCTTTTCTCCCTTGCGCTTTTTGATACATCCGAGGTGACTTTGCTCAACTGGAGGTCACAAAGACTGCTAGGTTTTTTCCCTTAGACTTTTTTCATTTTAGTTCTTACATTTAGGTCTATGATACATCTTGATTTAATGTTTCATTGGAACATAAAGGGTCCAAATTTATTCTTATGTATGTGGATATTATGTTGTCCCAACACTGTTTGCTAAAATGACTATCTCCCATTGAATTGGCTTGCCACCCTTACAATAAGGATATACATCTGAACTCTCAATTTTATTCCATCGACTGACTTTGTCTTTCATGCCACTGGCCACTTGGTTACATTAGGGTCCTTTGTTATCAAGTTTGTTTTTAAATTGAGTGTTCATTCTCATGATTATTCTGGATTTATAAATGAATTTTAGGATTGGTTCATCATTTTCTGCAAAAAAAGGTAGGTGGGATTTGAGGGGGTAAAGTTTTTGTAATCTGTATAACCTGGTGTGACATTGCAGGATAATGCACTAGACCACAAGGTCAGTTTGAGCTGTAAGGTGGCAGTTCAAATCCACCAGCTGCTCCTTGGGAATCCTATACAGGGTTACTATGAGTCAGAACCGATTAGATGGCAATTAACAACAAAGTTTCTTTCATTGCTTTTTAGTTTTTAGAATACAAGACTTTAAATTCTTTTCTTAGATTTATTATTTTTGATGTTATGATAAATGAAATTGCTTTTTTAATTTCACTTTCTGGTCAATGCTGGTGTATAAAAGTATGATTTTTATATATTACTCTTATATCATGCAACCTTGCTGACTTTGTTTCAAAGGCTTTTTAGTGGATGCTTTAGGATTTTCTACATATATCATCTACAAATACAGATTCTTAGTCCTGGCGTGGCACTGTGGGTTAATGTGCTGGACTCACCAGCCGCTCCTTGGAAACCCTATACAGGGGTCACTATGGGTTGGAACCGACTCAGCAGTGCTTGACTTCCTCCTCTCCTATATGGATGATTTCTCTTGCCCAGTTGCTCTAGCTACAGCTTTCAGTCCAATGATCAAAGTAGTGAAAGCAGACATGTTTGTCTTGTTAGGGGAGAAAGAATTCAGTATGATGTTAGCTGTTGGTTTTTCTTACTTGGGTTTTTATCATCAAACAGCTTTGGACAGTCAACTGCTTTTACTGCAAAAATGAAATGATCATATGATTTCTGTTCATCATTATTACACTAGTGGATTTTTATGTGAACAAAACATGTATTCATGGGATAAATCCTACCTGGCTAGATATGCTATGCAATACTTTTCATATGGTATGGAATTCGATTTGCATTTTGTGAAGGATCTTTTGTCCATTATTTGTAGTAAATATAGGTCTATAATTTTCTTTGTAATGGTGATGCCGTTTTCTGGTGTTGGGATTAGGTAGTACTGAACACACAGACCGAGTTAGAAAGTCTTCCCTCCTCTTAAATGTTTCCCGATATACTGAAGCCTTTGAGAAATGATGTATTCTTTGTATCTGGTAGAATTCACCATTGAAGCCACCCGGGTTTGGGTTTTTCTTTGCAGTTTTCAAATTACTAGCTCAATCTCTTTACCTGTTACGTCTATCACGTTTTCTATTTCTTTTTGAGTCAGTTTTAATAGTTTGTCTTTCTAGAAATGTGTTCATTTTTTTCCCTATTATGTAACTTGTTATTCATAGTACTCCTTTTTAATTCCTTTTGTAAAACCACTGGTGATGTGCCCTTTCATCCCTGATTTTAGTTAACGGAATCTTCTCTTTTAATTGGCCATTGAAGCTAGTGTGCTGTAGTTGATTCTGACTCAGTGACTCTATAACACAGAGTAGAACTGCTCCACAAGGTTTCCTTGGCTATAATCTTGCAGGAAGCAGGCTATGAGGTCTTTTCTCCCTCACAGCAGCTGGTAGGTTTCAAATGTTGATCTTTCAGTTATCACTGTGCCACCAAAGCTCTTTAATCCATCATTCAGGCCCTCACAAAGGCAGCTTCTATTGTCTCCCCTCCACTGTGTTTGGGCCATATTTTTCTGTTCCTTCCTATGTCTTGTAACTTTTTAAAATTAAAAACTGGACATTTTAGACAATAAATCATAGCAACTTTGGATATTCACATTCTTCTCTTCCTGTGGGGCTTGTTTTTTGGTGACTTGGACTGGCTACTTCACTGAAGTCTATTTACCCAGACGAGTGTTCCTTGATGCTGCTCTTCAGAGGACACAACCTGTGTATATGCAGTTAGTCTGACTCCTCCCCTGCTGCTCAGGACAGTGGTTTTGGCAGGGTTTTTTTTAATGTTTTATTGTGAATTATATGATAGTTTACATGGGTGAATTTTAGTTTCACATTCATTCCATCGTATTATCATCTCATTGCCATGGTTCCAATCTGCTCCATGAATCATCAACCACCCAAAAGGTATATCCCAGAAACCCGCCCCCTACACTTTCCCCTCCTCCCCCCAGTTTTCGGCCCACAGTCTCTTTCCTTCTCTGGTTCCACAGTCCCCAGTCGCTTCATCACTCCACTTCATCATATGTCTCTATCTCAGGCATCTCTGTTTCTCTGGGTAGGGTCCCGCTCTCGGCTCTTCTCCGTTGATGGTCCCAGAGGCCTCCCCTCCTTGTTACAAAACTTCTACCTTTGCATTTCCAAC